CTTCCAGGCCCACTATTGTCCTCAGTCACCTCCCTCACACTCCTGACCTCCAGAATCTCTCACCAACCTACCAGCAAGCCAGTGCCCACATGACTTGTTATAGTTCAGACTGTGAACAAACCTACTCATGCTCTATTCATTAAAGTCCAAACTCCCATCCAGCTGGGCCATCAGGCGGCCTCAGGATTGAGCCTGGCCCCAACCATCTCCCCAGCCTTGCTTCCTGACCACTCTCCCTTTCTGCCCCAGCTCTACAATGAAGCCAAAATGGATGTTCCTCCTGAGTGGTGGATCCCTCTATGCCCTTCTCCACCCCACACCAACTTCACTCACAAAAACCTTCTCCTAGATCCTTAGCCCAGGATGAGTTAGTTCATGTAAGTATTTTTATCTGCAAATGCTGAAGGCATGTTCAGGATGTAAATGCTTAAAAATTAGTGCTAAAACCACCGTGTGGCACTCAGTAAGCGCTCAGAACGTGTTAGCTTTCATCATTTAATCAATAAGTTGTTATCCTTGAAGGACAAAGAAAAATGCATCCTCTTTCATGATGTTTTACTGTAGCACCCCAGGAAAAGAAGAGTTGCTTCCTCTGATGCAAATTCCTAAAAACTCTGTACCATTCACACAGCACTGATCTCAGATATCTCTGGCACTCAGTAGTTTGTGTGTGTATCGCCCTTCCTTTTGTTGTGTTCTGAGACCTGGAAAGAGCACCAGGAGGGGTCTGAGTGAGCACGATGCACTTTGTGACTGACAGTGTCCACCACTCACAACTGAATGGACTTCCAAGGGAACAAAATTGCACCCCTCTCTCCTTTGTGAAGCATTTCCCATCTGCATGGCAACTTGCCAGTGCACATCTTTCTGTAATGACCTGAGCTCAGTCTTTTTTCTCCACTCTAGTCCCAGTTTCTCAGATCCCACACCAACACTCTCTGGCAACACAGTCAAGAGCGGGACCATTCTGAAGGCCCTGCAAATTCTTTCTGTTTTTTGAGACAGTATCTTGCCATGTTGCCCAGACTGGCCTTAAACCTTGACTTAAGCAATCCTCCTGCTTCAGCCTCCCAAGTGCTGGGACTAGAGATGCATGTCCTGTCTTGCTTGGGTCCTGCAAATTCTGCCCAAGGGCCTGGCAATTCTTCTCTGTCTTCAGGTAGTATCCCTTAACTGACTAGATCATTGCAAATGACACTGTGTGTCTAGAAGCCAATTGAAGACTTTCATTTAAAGGTATAAAGATGAAAAACTTCCATTTTACTTATCAGAAAGTTAACCTTTCCCCCAGAATCTCCTTTTAATATAGTCTCGGGCATAGACTCTTCCTAGGACATGCACATGCATGTGTGCACTGCACCCCACCCTGCAGGCTCCCTTACCTGCACCTGACCTGATGTGCATGATCATTCTTCTCCCTTTCTCTGCATTCACTCTTCTCTCTTTCTTTTGCCCCAACTACCCTGACCCCTCTTATTTATACTTTTTGTGTTTCTTTCCCTTGATCTCTCAGAAGACAGCTAGACTCCTAGGTCTTGAGATGCTATAGAGAAAACAGAAGTGAGACAGTTCCAAACATGCTTGGCCTCAAAGTCAAGGCCTGGTGGAGGCAGTTCCAGGGCCAAAGTCCTACATGACCTGAGGCCAAGCAAAGAGGTAAGACAGAACCAGAGTGAGGTGCAGCAGCAAGAGCTAAGCTTCTAAGAGATGATGTGTTCCTTCTTTGTGTACAGACACACAGGCTTTTTGTTTTTCTGGAACTAGTAAAATCTGATCTATGATAAATGTCACCAAAAATCTTCACCTGAAGTTCATGTACATAAAAAAAAAAAACTATGAGGACTAATGGAAATAAAAGAAAATGATTTATATGCAGGGTATTGGGAGACTTCATTCACCAGCCTCTGTGTGTGGCAGGAGTGGCAATGATGGAGGATGCAGCTTGGCAGACCTGTACACACTGGGAAATGGCACATGCAGGGCTTCTCGGTATTGTGTCCCTGTGCCCTCAGTTTATAGCTGAATTGTCACTGGAGAGCCTGAGGCATAGTGTAGTTCTTTATTCCTGTACTCCCCACAGCATCTGACCAAGAGGGCAGATGTCTAATTCATTTCTTAACCCAAGTATCTTAAAATGGATAACTTCCGATATAACGGCAGCCCTGCTCTAGCGAAAGATGTTAAAGTAAGAAAAAAAAATGTTTATACACATATATATGAAAAAGAATCATCAACAAATCTTAACTATAAAAGATTCCAGCCAAGCTTAATTATAAACATAAGTACATCCTTACCGTCCTTCCAAAGCTCTGCCACGAATCTATCTGATGACTGGTGTAGAAGGGTGGCCACGTTGTCATTCAGAGGGTCCATGTTCTTCATCAGCCACTCGTCGGCCTTATAGTCCACCTACCCGTACCAAAGCCATATGTGGTGAAATGGAAAACACAAAACCAAACACAAGAACAAAAACCTTCTTAAGCTTTCATCAAAAGTCTTCACAGAACAATTGAAAAAACTGGATTGTCTCAAAGGCAAGCCAACTGTTAAAATATATACCATATACAGTGTTTGTGAATGTCTGTCGACACCTTTGTTACACCTTCACAAAACGCAGCAACAGAAAACAGTGATTTAAATCGAGTTATCCAGCATAAGGACTCTCTTACCTTCCCGGCATAATGTATAATGCAAAAGTCAGCTTTGTCTTTCAGTTGCCGAGGTTTCTGGAACTTGGAGTGGGAACCCTGCTCTTGAACCAATTTTTCAACAAAGGTTTTGTCTGTGGCTTTAGGGAACCAGCACTCTTCATCCAGAAGGGCCAGGACACCTGGAGGGTTAGCCTGATGATGAGAAGCAGCAAGAAAGGACAAGGTTTGCATGTCAGATGCCATCGGGTTGACAGCTTATCTTTCAAAGCCATTAGAGTTTTACGCAGATCTGTGAAAAACTACTGCTAGTATAGAAAGTAAATGTACAAACCATAACAAGTTTATAATTCAAACATGGAGATCTCAAACTGCTAAGTACCAACAAGAAAATGGGTAACTTCTCTAGCCAACTTTCAAATATGTAAATTTTAAGTAATCTAATTCCAAATAAATGGCCCATAAAAGCAGCAAATAAAGAAGCCAAAAAGGAACTGGGAGGAGGCTGTAGAGATGAAATTAATTGTTTATATTCAATGACTGGTGGATATATTATTATAAAATCTCAACCAACTGTTTGTTTCAGGCATTATACATCTTAAGCAATGTAAGTTTTTGTTTAAGTGATGATTAAATAAAGTATATTGTTTCATACTTGGTAAACTATTTAAAAGTATTATTAAGTAGAGTACATGGAGAGTGATAAAATGAACATATAAAGCAACTGATGAATTAGCAGACTTTGAGAGCCTACTTTATGTCACTCACTTAAGAGCTCACTGGAAAGAGATCTCAGTGAGTCCACAAAGTTACAAAGCAGATTACTGGCAGCCAGGGGTTGGGAGGAGAATGGAGACTGATGGCTAATGGCCATGGGGCTTTTGGGGGAGAGGTGATGAAAATATTGTAGAATTAGCACTTAGAAGGCTCCAATCTTATGCTATGTGAGTTGTGTCTCAATTAAAAAATAAGGTGATCTATGCCATCCACAACAGAACTTGGGCCAGTTTTAGGACATATCCATAAAATCAGCTTTTTAGAAGAAAACTCAAATATCAGTTTTCTTTAACACACAGGCCATTATCTTTTTTTTTTAGAATTTAAAAAAAAATATCTATTTTTTTTTAGTTTTCGGTGGACACAACATCTTTGTTTGTATGTGCTGCTGAGGATCGAACCCGGGCTGCACGCATGACAGGCGAGCATGCTACCGCTTGAGCCACATCCCCAGCCCGGCCATTATCTTTACTGGGGAACAGCTAGCTATCTATACAAGTACTATTTTAAAAACAAAGTAAAGGTTAGAGTTAAATGTAATAATGTGGGTGGAGAAAGGTGAAGGTGGATTCCAAAGCCAGAAGGTAGAAGCTGGGAGAATCCTTCTGCAGTGAGACCTTAGCCCAGGGCTCCTTCACCTGAAAGAACTTTTGGGGTTTCAGATCAGCTAAAAGAAGATGATAATCAGAAGCAACAAGAATTAGGTAATCCAGAGGATTCAGGGCTCAGAGTGGCAGGTGGGTCAATCTCCCCGCATCACCTGACAGATGTGAGTAAGAAAGTGCCACACTAATATTAGGATAACCGAAACATCTGTCCTTCTACAGTGATTTTTACATTTCTATTCCCATTTAGTGAAAACATTCCTGAATTCTGACACGAAATCCAAATACGATTTAATTTTTTTCTAAATGACTCAGTGACAGCATGATTACAAAGAACCGTTAATGAGTCTCATTTTTTTTTTCTTCAATGTCAAAATCTCTTCTCACTTCTTTTAATTGGGTATTTCTAAAGAACTATAAGTTCAGGAATCTATGTTTTTGTATAATGGTCAAGAGGTTTGTAAAAAGCTTTTGAACCCCAAGGCTCACAGGCTTCCACCCATCTCCAAGCCAGGTGTGACTGGAACACTTTTATTTATTTATTTTTAATTCATTAATTTATTTTGGGGTATTGGGGATTGAACCCAGGGGCAATTTACCACGGAGCTAAGTCCCCAGCCCTTTTTATTTCTTTTCTCAGTAAGTTGCTGAGGCTGGTCTCAACTTGTGATCCTCCTGTCTCAGCTTCCTGAGCTGCTAGGATTATAGGCATGTGCCATGGTGCCTGGCTCCAGAACACTTTTAAAGGTATTCTTCTTCAAGAAAATACTGCAACCACTCTCCCTTTCTCTCTCTTTTTTAGTGGGGGTGGGGTGGGGTGCAGTGGTACTGGGAATTTAACCCAGGTTCTCCTCCATTCTAAAGCATAAGTGCAGGGACACCATCAAGGCAGTCTGAAAATGTAGGCCTTTGAGTGCCACAAGGACACACAGATATAAACACCTCAAATAACATCGATAATAATGTCAATAATGCTAACACAAAATATTTCATTCCCTTATTGATACAAATTTCCAAACAAATTTCTTGGTGATTTTAGGCAACAGAGCAGCAATGAAATGTGCTTGTGTGCTGGTGTGGATGTGAAAGCTAACTGGAAATTACTGCAAGTATGCTGTGAGTGTTACCTCCAAAAGATGCAACAAGCTACCCAGCCATCCTTACCACTACAGGTAATTTGAGATTTCTGCTCCAAACATGTAGCTCAAGTGCCTTAAAAAATAAAATGATTACTTATGTAGGTAATGTGCCAAATGAAAATTATCTGTTGCATTCCTTAAACCCACATATCTAATGTACTAGAACTACATCTTCAATGGAGTGAATGTCTTCTAGGTTCCTCCTCTTCCTAACTTGCCACTAAAGGGACTGTGCCATCCAAGATCTCCAGACAGTGGGCCTCAACCATCTTCAAACACAGACTCCGGGCAGCAACCAGAGACTGGATAACAAGAAAAAGAACTGCTTTTCTCAGTAAGTTGCTAAAGCTGGTCCCCTGTTAGGGGAGACCTTGGGATTGTTGTTGCAATAGGCCTACTTTAGTAGTGCTAGAACTTTATGTAAATTATGGGTATTAATGCAAGAGGCTCTAGGTTAGAACCCTAATACTAGGGTTGGGAGGGATATCTCAGCCTTAATTACACATTAGTTTTTTTTCTCTATGTTTTGACAGATACTAGAATAAAATAAGCAAAACCAATATTATGGTGAGTAAAATATAACACCAGAAAGCCAGGTATGGTGGTGCACTCTTATAATCCCAGCTACTCAGGAGGCTGAGGTAGGAGGATGACAAGTTGGAATCCAGCCTGGGCAACTTAGTGAAACCCTGTTTAAAAAAATAAATTAAAAAAACAAAACAAAACAACTATCTGCCAGGAAATACATAGCCAGATCATTACTGTTTGTTCACAATCACATGGAGTAGTTCAAAAAGCAAATGAACTATGTATAGTTCTATGTGCTTTTACATAACGCTAAAATTCTGATGCGCTAAGATTGCTACTAAAAATACATCTGCCAAAAGGCCCCCTCTTCCCCCCCAAAACCACCCAAGACTTCAAATTTTAAAAATCTGCCCAAAGAAAAACATCTCTGTACTTACAAGGACAAACTTTTGTTGTGTAGAAAATGGATTGACTCGACATGGCTTACTCCCAGCTAAGTGTATGTCCCTGAATTACCTAAGATGATGGGAGACAGGGGAGGCACCACTACCAGGGACCTCTGCCACCCGTGAAGACCACACTACATTATTCAACACAACTATACATGTGAGGATAGGAACAGAGCTAAAAGGAAAGATAACGGAAGGGTTTTACTGGGATGTCACTTACTTTTAAATAGGATTATTTTATCCCAGCATCATCTTCCTAGAAAAGTTAGATTATTTATTAGTAGGAGTATGTGTGGGGTTGTGGGGGGCCTTGTGCATGCTAGGTAAGCCTCTACCTCTAAGCTACATGCCCAGATGAACATTTAGATTGAAAAACTACTTTAACACTGATGAGGATAATTTCTATCTTGGATTATGCCAAGAACAAAATTTAAGGCTCTGCTTGAACAGGAACTAGAAGCCAAACAGTGAGGACACACTTACGGGCCTCTCTATCAGGTCGATGCACGGCTGCAGATCCAGCCCGAAGTCGATGAAGTTCCACTCGATGCCCTCGCGCTGGTACTCCTCCTGCTCCAGCACAAACATGGTGTGGTTGAACAGTTGCTGCAGCTTCTCGTTGGTGTAGTTGATACACAGTTGTTCAAAGGAGTTCAGCTACAGATGTTGAAAGTCATTGTCCAAACATGGGGAGGGAGAGAAGATGGGAATAATTATCTAGTTACCCAAAAAGTTCATTAGAAGTTATCAGGTATCCATGATATTATTGGTTCTAGCTGATGAATCAGTACTGTCCCATTCTACCCTTCAGTGAGGATGTGGGCTCCAGAGTGAGGTAAGAAAGAAATCATCTAAGAATCGTCTTTACTTCCCAGGGCTGCTGCTGGGAGCTCAGATTGGTCTGATACAAACAGCGCTGAGGAAGGGTAAAGATCTGGGTTAATCTATGCAAGCACTTCTCTTATTCAATGTGTGACCTTTGCCAATATCCAAAGTGACATAGCACTGCTCTCATTAAGTGAATCTGAACATCTTTCATTTGTTACAGTCACTTCTGTTCTTCCTCTGTGAACTCTGCCCATTTTTCTATTGTGCTGATGGGTGGATGAATGGACAGATGGGTGAATTTAATAAGTATAATTTTATTTGAGTAATCATCCTACATACCCTAAGTATACAGCCCTTTTTCTGTTTCTACACTGTTCACATGAGTAGCATGTATCCATAAATAACTTCTTTCATTATAAAAAATGACTTTCAATTAGAAAGAATTTAATCAATCTCCTAGGAATAGACTTATGGCCTGAAAAAGCTGCTCGGATCTTCCACAGCCTGTAGAACTGTTCGTACTTGCTGTTTTAGAATGAGGTCATACTGGGAGGGCAGGGGCAGAGCCTACCTTGCTTTCTAACTAGCACATAGGACAAGCCACATAAATATTTAAGAGATTGCCTGATTTTGCTTATTCATTCTTATATAAATGGATTTTGCTTTGCCTTATAATTGATTATGACATCTATTGCTGTCTGATGACAAATTATGCTCATTAAACAGCTTTGTATTTTTTGCATGTATGTACCTTTTTCTGTCTGCATATTCCTATATTAATACATATTTCTTTTACTATGCTTTGTCTTCAGTACTCTCTTCACAGTTTTCACTGTCTCTTCTTTTTGATTATTTTTGGAATTAACAAGAAGGTTGCCTATTCTCTTCCTTCCCTTAAAATTCCTACTAATAGGTTTTAAACAAGTATGTTTGATTTATAGATGAATATTGGGAAGACCTATACCTTTATAATGCTAAAATTTCCCATCAAGAACAGGGTATGTCTCTTTATTGTTTTGTTTTTTTTAATAGCAGCAATGTAAAGTTGCCTTCATTTAAATCTTACCTGTTTTTTCTTAAAATTATTTTTAGGTATTTCATCTGTTTTTGGTGAAGTTGGAAATGGGGGTCTTTTCTTTCATTTTTATCTTCTGGTGTTTATGTAGAAGAAGAAAGATTTTTTTTTTAATGTAATTTGTACCCAGCAATTTTTCAAGATTTCTCAAGCTTTTTACAAAATCAATAAATCAATATATACTAAAACAATCTCTTAGAGTGGCATTGTCCAGTCCAGTTCAGTGGATGAATTGCTTATCCCAGTAATGGTTCAGTTTTTATGAGGACAGACTGACTTAATAGTATTTTAAAGAAGTCCATTTTAAAATTAGACAATTCAGTACCCAATAGTGGCTAAAGTAATACACTAATTGCAAGTCAATATTTGTGCCTTCTATATAATCTATCAAAGAAAAGAGACAAACTACATCTATCATGATTTAGCTTGTATATGTATTTACAGAGATAAGGATACAAATTTTTCAAAGAGCAAATTTTATCAACCTCTCTGCAAATCCTTAACAGGTGTGTGACCATAAACCTTTGCCATGTCGAAGATAACTGGACAAACCTAGTCAGATCACTGATGCAGTGTACTATCAAACACGTGGACACCGACCATCTTTCCTCCACACTGCTTCTTTCCGACTCTTGTGCTAGGTCACCCTCACCCTGCCCCTGGTCTACCAAACTGGCCTCCTCGATGTTGCCCTACTTCTACTTTGGTGCCAGAATACATTCCATATCCTCAACTCCCCTCTCCCTTTGGTCAGCTCTGTTCAGACACACTGGCTTTCTAGCAGCTTCTAACCTTTGACAAATTTTCCCCTAAAGATCCTCCCTGTTCTTCCTATCACAGCACCTTTCACTGTGTTTGCCTTTCACACAACTGGGAACTGAGTAGCTGTTTGCCATTTATTGTCTGACTCTCTTCTAGAATGGCAGGGACTGTACCTGTTCATTTGTCATTACGCCCCTGGTGCCTGGCACTGAACCTGGTACATAATAAGCCTTAACATTTGTTAAAAGAAGAAACAAAAAGAAATGTAGGAAGGAAGGAGAGAAGAAAGAATACCTCAAAAATTTCAAATCCAGCAATATCCAGGATTCCAATGAAAGATGCTCCCTGACGTTTGGTCCTATCCAGAGCTTTATTGATACGGTGAACGAGCCAGCGAAAGAGTCGCTCGTAGGTAGCTTTTGCCAATGCTTCTACTGCAAAATCTGCCTATAATTAAATAACATCAACCCATTATCCTGGAAACAGTCTCAACCAAGCATTTACCGCTATTATGTGAAGTTTATTGTTATCTAATACTCAAGAAGCCTGAAATGACATTTACTACTGAATCATGTCCCAATCTTACACATCAGTAGAAAGCATTATTAGTACAATTAAATGAAAACTGGGGGCTACTCATTTTAGGGAATAGGTAAAAATGCCCAGGGAAAATAAATTCTTCCCCAGACTCCTGGGGCTCTGAGCGATATTATCTATCTCATCAATTCTGTTAGCTGGCACTTTGCCACCTTCCAACCTTCTTACACAACTATTAATTTTTTCTTAAAATAGTCCAAAATTAAATGGTAAGTGCCATTCCCCTATTCTTGCTATTGTACAAGCACAGGAACAAGGTAATGGAGGTCTTGCTGCTAGTTTGGCTCCTAAGTTAAGATTTGTCTACTGGATTATTTGCCTCCCCTCCCCAGGACAACTAGAGATGATGTTTCAAATTCAAATATAAGCTACTGGAAAAAATGTACTCATTTAATACTAAGAAATATTCATGAAGTTTTCATTGATTCAGTTTGTGCATGTCAATCAGAAGGTCAAATGACTCCCACTTATCACTCCAGCAAATCTGAAATAACAATTAATGTTGAACTTACTTGTTCTTTGGTCTGGGCTTTCTGCACATAATCTCGGCCGACCTTGATCCGAGGGGTAAGTATAGCCCGAGTAAACTCCATCACATTCATCCCAAGCAGGTGGCAGAGTTTCTGTGCAACTGAAAGGTAAAACCCCTAAATACTCCATGTGTACTCAGGATGGAATCACAACACTCAACAAACACTTGACAAACTCTAGTGATTATTGAGCTGTTCTAAAGTTAGACAAATATTCGATGCCTGGCTTTTCTTTTTTTCTATAGACCATCAGAAACACATTTTCAAGTGTGTTTTAAATGTGTTTAGGTCTGATGAAAAATACCTTCCATTCTTCCACGGTAATCACACACCCATTTTTAAAAAGTGAGAGATAATGAGATAGCGTCTGCCCTCCTTGCCTTTGGTGACCTGATCTTCTTCTACCTATGGGTCATTTTATGACTTCAAAGCTAAGCTATGCAGGTGCACATCTGTCTCACTTTACGGCTTTCATTGCTCTGCCAACAGTAATTTCACCATGTGGAAGCCACAGGGGGACACAGGCCCATAGCCCAATTCAACTACTCTGAATGGGCAAGATACATGTAAGGGTCAGGAAATGGTAACCGTGACACAGCAAGAGAGGCAGGTCACTTAGAAGAGTATCACAGAATTAAATTGCAAATGAGCCTTGAAATGGTTACAAAAAGGACCACTTCAAGGGGCAGATGATATGACTTTATGTCAGCCTTCATGGGCCACGGTGCACAGTTATGGGATGAGATGACTTTCTCAGGTAGTCAGGCAGACCAGGCCATATCAGTGATGCCTGACTTTTCTTTTTTCCTTTATTAAGTTATTTATATATTCTAATTTGTTATACATATAGCAGAATGCAATTCACTTCATATCACACACATAGAGCACAATTTTTCAAGTCACTGGTTATACACAAAGTGTTTTCACACCATTCATGTCTTCATACATGTCCTTAGGGTAATAATGTCTAACTCATTGCACTGTCATTCCTACCTGCTTTGCCATCCTTCCCTTTGCCCTATCTGAAGTTCCTCCATTCCCCCCATGCTCCCCACCCCACCCACCATCGCCCTTATGAGTCAGCATCCTCATATCAAAGAAAATATGCGGACGCCTGGCTTTTCTTTTTTTCTATAGACCATCAGAAGCAAATGAAAGCTCCCAAGTCTTGGAAACACATTTTTAAAATGTGTTTTAAATTTAAATCCATTTTGAACATTTAAAAACTTGAGGATTTCCTATTAAAATGTAGATTCCTATCCAGCTTTGAAAATTCAGTTACGAGAATGCTCCTCAATTTATGATGTTCTGATAAACCCACTTTAAACTGAGACTGCATGGCTGAGTCTAGTCTACCTTAACATGTTTAGACACTTAAATTAGCCTACAGTTGGGCAAAATCATCCAACATGAATCCTGTTTTAGGACGACATACTGAATATCTCACATGGCTTACTGAATTCTGTATCACAAGTGGAAAACAGAATGATTGTATGGGTCTGCTTTCATATTGTTATAAGGTTGAACCACTGTAAGCTGAGGACCACCTGTGTGTTTGGCAACACTGGGGGTTTCCAGGTAGCTCTCTTCCAGGTGAGCTGTGTGGTCTGCTACAGCTTAGTTCCCTTCCCCTCAATTACCAATGCCTCTCCCATGTAAGCTGAGGACCATTCCCCGTCTTCCCTCAGGGTTGCCACTCTACTCAAGAGTCCCTCAGGAAGCACATGTTCGTGTTTTTCATATGTTCTTAGCAAACATAAGAAGCCATTGAAATAGAAATAAAATCACTGTTCATTAGTTTACCTGTATTTTCTGGCATAGAAGCTTGATCAGTATTTCTCTCCTTTTTGAAAGATATATTTCCAAA